GATATAATATGTCTGTGCTTAACATAATCTGCCAATAACGCCTTGTTTTTAGACATAATGCATCTGTGGTTAACACAAACGGCTTGTTTTTTTCATCCAGCCTTTTTTTTTTTGTCTAATCAGATGTGGCCCTCCAGATACACCTTGTTTTTTTATTTTTTAGCATCAACATTAGTAGAGTGCCATTTTCTTTACAGCTTTTTAGATGCCTATTTTAAAGTACCTGTGCATAACTCAGAATTGAACCAAGGATCCAGTCTCCTCTGGTTGATTACTTTCTTTTCTTATTAGCAAATCAAATCAGTTTTTCTTATCCTGAACATTTTATTGTACATCTAAAAAAGCTAAATCTGGTCCTCTGGACATTCATGTCTTGTTTTTTTGAATGTTCAGAGGACCAGACTGAACTTTTTTAGATTATTCTACCTGGACTATTTAGCATGCATCAGGAGATTTCATTGTACAGTTGACCTTGTGTTAACCTGCATATGACAAGTAAACATAACTTAAAGTTACTCACGTGGTTGGGGGAAAAAGTAAAAAAAATAAATAAATTTGGACAAGCACCACTGGCATCCTGTTTGTCAACAGCACTGGTGGTGGTCGTTGGTAACCCGGCCCTCGACTGATCCGGTATGATTTTGCTATGATGAACTCGCATTATAGTTTTGACAAAAGTCTTTTACATCGGATGCCCTTCCTGACACAACCCTCACCATTTACCCGGGCTTGGGACCAGCACAAGAGATACACTGGCTTCTGCTCCCTAGTGGCTGGTTTAGCCACTGCAGGCTGATGTGTGCATTTTTTCCCCTCCAAATTTTTATTTATATTCACGTTCACATTTTTTACCCGGTATTTGGTATTTCAAATGTAACAAAGTAAATCTTATATATAAAAAAAATCATACTAAAGTTTAAAAGTATAGATTGGAAATTTAATTAAAACATAAGAAGTACATCAACTTTATACTTAATTACGTAACACAAATAAATGTAATATTTTTTACTTTCCACTCTGGGTGGTGGGTGACGAAAATAAAATTTCTCAGATAACCTTTACTAAGATCTGACTTCAGCTGCGTCACTATTTTTTTACCTTGTGGATGTTTTTTCAAAAAACATTTTTTAGTTATTAGTTTTTTTTATACCTCTGATGAAGAAATTTGACACCATTGTGCGTGTATGTAAATATTTTTTTATCCACATCCCTAGTGCATAAACTTTAACTCCAAAAATACAGTAAGGCTGTGTACATGAACAAAATATGTTGGCTCCACTTTTGTACAGCAGAATTAGACTGAAACACGTACATCTTTATAAACTAAGGCTTGCTAAGGTAACTGTTTGTCTTTTATGTACTTTATTCTGTGGTGTGTGTACCATATCAGAAGGGTGAAAAGGTGAGGATGTGCTCTTCTGTGCTTTAGAATTAGAATCAATAAGGTCATCTTGTTCTTTTGTTGCTCTATTCAGTGTGACTCAAGTTATTTATCTTGTGCGTTGAGTCCTAAAAACACAGACCTGTCTCTGTGTGTGTGTGTGTGTGTGTGTGTGTCTGTGTGTGTGTGTGTTGGGGTGGGGGCATATAAATCTGTGCTTTGTTTGCTTTTAATACTGAGGAAAAAAAGGAGAGAAATATTACTTGTAAAAATATGCCAAATAAAGCATCAAATTATCATAAAATGTGTCAGGTCTGGCCTTGGAGAACTCCAGGCCTATTAGTCTCAGGTGGTAAGGTACTAAAAACATGAACGTTAAACATGAATGTGAAAAGAACTGTGGGTTTGTACTTTGTATAAAATCCAATAAATCAATCACTTGGTGGAATAGCACAGTTTGTTTCTTATAAAAATACATTCACTGCAGTATTCAGAACTAATACTACAGCATATGAAGCTAAAACACAAGAATAAATGTGAACATTGTGAAACTTGAAAGAGTTTTCCTGATGTTAAACACCATTCGGGTTGAAGGACATTTGACAGTTGACAAGTACTATAGGTACAACACTATTTAAGGAAAATCACATAAATGTAGTTTTTTTTTTTCCACGTGATCCTTTGTGGAAACATGCAATACCACAGGAAATCAAATGAACATGTTGAAAATCTTCCAAAATAGCATGGAAAACATGTTCAGAACAAGTATTATGTGTGAGTGTGGCAGGCGGGGGGTAATTTTCTTCCTCTTTCGGATTTCCCACTTCAGGGTTCTACACAGCGAGTCTTCCTCCTCTATCTCATTCTTTCCTCTGCAACCTCTGTTCTCACTCCAACTACCTCCATGTCCTCTGTAACTGCATCCATAGATCTCCTCTTTGTCTTTTTCCTGGCAGCTGCATTTCTAACATCCTTCTACCAGTATACCCACTGTCCTTTTCACTCTTTTCTAAGTCTAGCTTCCACAAATTTCTCCCATATCTTCAACGTGTGGCTCATCAACTTAATCCCCCTCTAGTTGCTACAACTTTGTGCATCACCCTTGTTCTTAAAAATGGGCAGCAGGACACTTCTCCATTCCTCAGGAATTTTCTCACCCTCAAATATGTCATTGAATATTTGAGTCAAAAACCTCATTGCCATCTCTCCAAGACATTTCCAAACTGCCACTGGTATGTCATCAGGTCCTACTGTCTTCCCCTTCTTCATTATTTTCAGAGCTTTCTGGACTTCACCCTCATTTGCGCTTACGACCCTTTTACCCTCACTGATCTTTCCCAATTCCTGGTCCACAGTTTCTATGACCTCTACTCTTCTTTTTCTTTCATTCTCTTCATTCATTAGCTCTTCAAAGTACTCGTACCATCTTCCCATCACACTTTCCTCAATTGTTAGAAGATTACCACTACTATCTTTAACAAGTCTAACTTGCTGCATATCCTTTCCAGCTTAATCTCTCTGTCTCACCAATCGGTACAAATCCTTCTCATCCTCTTTAGTGTCCAGCCTCCCATACGACTCATCATATGCTTTCTGCTTTGCCTTAGCTGCCTTCCTCTTTGCTCTACGCCCCATCTCCTTATATTCCCATCTCTCTCTTCAGTCCTCTCACTTTCATATTTCTTCTTGGCAAACCTCTTTCTTTGAACATCTTCCTGCACTTCACTATTCCACCACCAGGTTTCCTTATCATCCATTCTCTATCCAAAGGACGCACCAAGTACCTTCCTACCTGCCTCTATAGTGTAAGGATGTTAGTTTTCTGTGGCCCGGTGTGTCTGTTTCCCTCGTGCTCCTCATTAGTTTCCATTGTTGCCACCTGTGTCGTCCCAGCTGTTTGCTATCATGTCTCGTCTTCTCCTTGTATTTAAGTCGCTCTATTCTGTCTTGTCCTTTGTCGGGTCGTCTTCGTTGGGTGTGCTTCCTTGAGTCTCCTGAGTCTCTCCTTTTCTTCCTGGTTCCTCGAGTTCCTCGTGTCTCCTGAGTTCCCCGTGCCTCCCTCCTTGTTTATGTAAGTTTTGCTGCCCCGTCAGCATATTTATTTTGTACTTTTTATTTATCATTAAAGACCTATTTTTGTATATCTGCCGAGTTGAGTCCCTGTTCTGCACTCTGGGTTCGCTCCGACCACAAATCCTAACA